CTCTCTCTCTCTCTCTCTCTCTCTCTCTCTCTCTCTCGTTCTATCTCATAGCGCCACTCTTTCTTTATTCCCCGTTTGAATCCTCGAAAATTCGTAACGCTATTCAACAACTGTCACGTGAATCGAATCATTATAAAGGGTCGAAGTACGCCAAGTAGGTCGGCGACGGCAACTCGCTGTAAATGCCATTGCTGCCAACGTGGCGGGCGGCGCCAGCTACGCAAGACGCACTTACGACTCTCGCGAACGAAGGTCTCACCTTTTCTAGAGCCAGAAAGCGAGCAATTCTAACTTACCCACCGCGACCGAGTCTTTACTTTATTCATTTTGCACTTAACCGCCATCATACTCACCGTCCACGTCAATGACTCTTTCCTGGCGAATGTGAGGAGGTTCGGTTCTCTTCCTTGCTCGCTCATTGCGCAATCATTAGTTTCCAAAGTCGCATATTACCGATCGGTAATCTTATACGCTAATTCACAATTATTGTAGGCTTATTTTTTATTTTTTTTTCCCCTTTTTTTTCTAACAAAAATGTATGGCTTTCGAGCGAACTGTCGCTTAAAAAAATCCAATGCAAATTCACTTTATTCTATTCGCGAATCAAAGATTAACGAGCCTGTGCGACATTTAATGGGAAGGAGGAACCTTAGATATTGATATCAAACGTGCGCAGGCTCAACAAACAAAAGCAATTGAATGAAACGGAAAAAGAGAATGAAGTTTTTAATTAGTCGTATCACTCACGCTCGATGCAGCCATTCTGGTAGCTGCTTAATTCCAAAAGTTTCGCAATAATGGCACAAGTTTATAGCAATTTAATGCCTTAGCTGCACTCAATGACCGTCGATGCTCTAAAGAATATTTTTGCAAATCCCCACTGTGAAAACGCGTCCGGTAGCTTCAACTCCATTTGTAATGCGAGCTGAAAATTCGTGGCATCTGACGAGTTTCATTGGTACAACAGGTTGTCAGCGGTGTGACACAAGATCATCTTACCAACATTTTAACAGCTCGTATAATTCAATTTTATTTGTAAACTTTGTCAATCGACAGTGTACCACTGTACTCGATATGATATTCTCGTTTAATGTCTATCTCTGAATGATAATTTACCCAAATTAAAAATCTTTCAGCAAAATTATTCAAAACTACTGTTTAATCATGAATGAATTGTGAACTGTAAATTTATATAAGCTTATATATAAAGCTTAAATAAGCTTAAATATATATAAGCTTAAAAATAAAACTGTCGAATGCAAGAATAGATAATGTTAATTTTCGTAATAATATATCGTCACAGTTTAAATTTCATAACTTGGATTCGTTTTTTTTTTTTTTTTTTTTTTTTTTTTTTTTTTTAAAAATAATAGGCAGCTTAACATACTTAAAATGAATTTCTGATGAAAAATGTATATCTTATCGATGCAAGCTACTTGATATCTATTTTCACAAATGCAGTTTAAAAAGCCATATTTGTATTGTAGATGAACACTTCCAGTAATAAGTTTAAATTAAATCTGTTAAAGCTATTATTAAAGATTTGATTTTATAATTACAATCGATAATTTTTCATTCACCGAATGAGCGGCGGATGTCAAGGGAAGCAAATTAATATATTAATATATCGGATCGAAATGAACACAGACGAGAGTTCAACTGTGCAAATAAAGGTTGATCAAAAAGGTCCAAATGACCAATGATAATGTCATACGGATTATTATGATTGCAATCGCAAGAGTTGATGAGCTGGCAAATTTCATAGTTAAAGCGTTAAAATCATAATAATCGAGAGGTAAAACTATTTCATGAGTAATATCACTGCTGAGGTTTCTTTTTGGTTTTTATTCATTCTCGTATTACGTGACGGTCAGACGTCGTCAAAAAAATTTTCTACCAACTCAACGACCTCTTCTCTATTCCCCGCTTAATCCGGCTCAACGCATTAAACCGACGAGGCACTTCTCGTCACAATCAGGGGCTTCTTCCTATTCTCCCTTTTTTTTACCTTCTACTTTACCCTAAAAAACAAGAGTTTTTCTTCTACTCGGCTCACTCTAATCCATTTTACGGCTAACGTTTCCTTAGACACTCGCCAGTGTTTTTATTTATTTATTTTTTTTTTTTTTCGGAGGTCCAATCTTTTGCATAATTTCCAATAAATAAGCCTTGTGATTTGTTGCACATAAGTGAGGCAGACGTTTCACTACGCGATCCGCATGAGTTGTAAGGCAGTAAATGATTAAAGACAAGGAAAGATTATTTGAAAGATATTGATTGAGCTGTTCGCTAATTCCTCATCATTCTCGGTAACGCGTAGTTTTTTTTTGTTTTTTTTTGTTTTTTTTTTTTTTTGTTTTTTTTTGTTTAATGAATAATTCTTTCATTCAGCCGATACACATCCGATAACTTTATATTATTTAAAACTAAAGCAGACGCATCGTTTGTTTCATAATACCGAGGCACGTTTATAAGCTATTAATTAAAAGGTCCTATAGTAAAAGCAGTAGATTAATGGCCGAAAATATCTCATGTTCATTTATATAAGCGGTAAATGATATCATGTAATCAGTACTAGTAAAGAACGGGTAAATCCATTTTTTTAGGGGTGTTGAAAATCCTAAAAGGCTAAGCGCCAATAATGCATCTAGTACACAATGTCTAAATTCGGCAAGATTTTTTAGTCTAATCGCCATATTTATATTAAAAGTTGTTGGAATTAATGGCGAGAAATTACAAGATATCGAAAAACAATAAGTTCATCGGCATATGAATACGGCCACTATCGTTTACTTAGTGAATCCTCGGAGAATATTTTATATACCTACCGACATCTATCATCCCAGGATATAAATATTTTCAGAGAGCCATTGATTCATAAATTCAACAAGGAAAAATTGCCGATGACTTATCGTTAAACCATTCGTCTTCAATTACAGTTGTCCGAGCAAGGGGATAAAGACGCAATAAAAATGCATCCTTCGTGTCGCCTAGAAGTTTCAATAAGTATATTAGCGATTATGGCTCGAAAAAAGCCCATTGAAAATAGCACAACAACCGACGTATCCATGCAAACAGTCGCCAATAATGATTGGTGAGAGGAAATGCGAGGAGGGGAACGCGACGCGCAAGAAGGAAAAAGGTGCAAGGACCCGGGGAAAGCTGTTTATGGCCGAAGCAATGCTTTGATCTAACAAGCACGCGATCTTGCGATCTATAGGCAATTGCCACGAGAAAGTGCAAGCTTCCTTCTTTGGATCAATCTCACGTTTTGCGTTTCTGGCTCATATACGAGCTGTCCTGCTATATTATCCATTACTTCCAATATTCGCTGAATTTCTTATCACACTTCCTGTTATCTTTATTATCAATTCTGAATTATTGGTATACTTTACGAGGATTAGGTTACAAATTAATATATATATATATATATATATATATATATATATATATCAGACAATTTTACGAACATTATTTTAATAATAAAACTCAGAAATGATAATCATGTAGATATTGGTTATCAATTAACGCATCTATTTAATTTACTCATAGTATGTAATCATATTATTTAAGAGGATCTTTAAAGTTAAATACTAATAAAACAGATTTCTGTTTTATTATGTATGCAAAGAAATCGCACAGAACTGAGAAATTACTTGTCTAGTTGTAATGGATTATGAATAATAATAGAATAACGAGCAATAAAGTTGATAAAAAAAAATTTTGAATATGTGTCTCGTACATTGAAATTTAACTTTCCTAACAGCTAAATAATAACAATATAATGCCATCTAAGAATTAGGTAACGATTCTCCGCGGTTCTATCTTATTTGAATTTGTAATATCGTATTATTTGTATAGCATTTTAATTATTATGCAGCACATATAAATTATGCAAAACTTCGTTTTTTACGTTGCTATTTTAAGTAAATTAATTAATTAAGGATAAATAAATTAAAAATAAAATATTTTCTTGAA